CCGCCCCGCCCCGCCCCCAGCGTTTTCTGTTGGCTTAGGAATTTGGGGCCCTACCGAGAAGCAAGAGGTTCGGGGAGTAAGAATGGCCCGTGAACCCGTGACCCGGTATGAGCAAAGCTAACATCGTTTGCTGGGCCTTTCTCCTTTTTAAAGGGGTTTTATCCCCACCTAATAAATACATTAGGGAAAAGCTTCCCAAGGCATGACATTTCAACACGATTTTCCCTACAGAGGCTTTAAGAAAAATCATTTAAAAATTTTTGCAGAATTGACCGGGCCCCTGTGGCTCAACCTGTCGTCCCAGCACTTTGGGAGACTGAGGCATGGAGATTGCCTGCGCCCGCAGGTTCGAGACTAGCTTGGGCAACTTGGCAAGACCTCGTCTCTACAATGAAAATCAAAAATGAGCCAGGCGTGGTAGCACGCACCTGTAGTTCCGGCTACTCGGAAGGCTGAGGCGGAAGGATCGCCGGAGTCCAGGAGGTCGAGGCTGCGGTGGCCGGGAGCGGCCACTGCACTCCAGCCTGGGTGACAGAGTGAGACTCCAACTCAAAAAAAATTTTAATTAATTAATTAATTCTCCTTTGTTTTTGTTTTTTGTTTTGTTGAGTCAGCATCTCGCTCTGTGGCCCAGGCTGAAGTACAGTGGCACACTCATGGCCACCACAGTCTCGACCTCCTGGACTCCGGCAGTCCTTCTGCTTTGGCCTTCCAAGTAGCTGGGACCACGCCCAGCTAATTTTTTTTGTTTGTTGTAGAGATGAGGTCTCGCCAGGTTGCCCGGGCTGGTCTCAAACCCCTGGGCTCTCACCTCTCACCTCCGCCTCCCAAAATGCTGGGATAACAGGTGTGAGCCACCACGCCCAGTCTAATTCTCCTTTGCCTCCACCGAGCACTCCTGCTTAGCCAAGCAGCCATGTTCACAGCTTGATTATCCCATGTCTTTCTTCGACCCGGGCATGCTGTGATAGGGTTCTAAATTAAATCGTCCCCTACCCTTGGGCCCTATGGGTGGCCTCGGTTTCTTGATATCACCACAGTTTTAAGGGAAGTTGGGAGCACGCCCTTGATTATTGCCTCAGGACTCATACCTACAAGGCAGAAACGCCAAAGCAGAGCTGGGTCGACTTCCACTGTTGGTCCTGAGGGCGGGAATCCTTTCTAGACCAGGGCTTGGGCCAGTGCATCAACAACAAGTGTAAACAACCTCAATATCCAGCAGCAGGAGCCGCTTTTTTGTTTTTTTTAAACTGGAGTCTCACTATGTTGTCCAGACTGGAGTGCAGTGGCATGATCATGGCTCACAGCAGCCTTGACTTCCTGGGCTCAGGTGATCCTCCCACCTCAGCCTCCTAAGTAGCTGGGACTACAGACATATGCCACCATACCTGACCAATTTTTTTTTTTTTTTGTATGGACAAGGTCTTGCTATGTTGCCCAGGCTGGTCTAGAACTCTTGGGCTCCCTAAGTGCTGGGATTACAGGCATGAGCCACTGCACCTGGCCTAAGTGCTGCTTGACTAGGCCATGGTGCCCTGTCCAGGAGGCACTGCACATTTGTCACACACAGAGGACATGGGAAGAATCCAAAAAGGGGTGAGACACAGCAAGAAGCAAACATAAGTGGAATATTATACCCAGTTGTATCTTTTTTTTTTTTTTTTTTTTGAGTTGGAGTCTCACTCTCACCCAGACTGGAGTGCGGCGGCCGCTCCCGGCCACCGCAGCCTCGACCTGCTGGGCTCCGGCGATCCTTCCGCCTCAGCCTTCCGAGCAGCTGGAACTACAGGTGCACGCTACCATGCCGGCTAATGTATTTTTTAAAGAAAAAGACCCAGTGCAGTGGCTTACACCTGTAATCCCAGTACTTTGAGAGGCAGAGGTAGGAGGATGGCTTGAGTCCAAGAGTTTGAGACCAGCCTGGGCAACATAAAAAACAAAAAAGCTAGCCAGGTGTGATGGGGCATGCCTGTAGTCCCAGCTATGTGGGAGGCTGAGGCAGGAGGATCTTCGGAGCGCAGCAGTTGGGCACTGTGGTAAGTCACGATCATGCCACTGCACTCTAGCATGGGCGCCAGAGACCCCGACTCAAACAAAAGGGGGCTTGGGAGCCACAGGTGATTACATTATTTTTTACAAACTATAAATAGCCCCCCACTGCCCACAGGGCCTCAGTGTCCCTTTCTGGGGCACGCGTTCTGTATCTCGGCGGCGTGCCGCGGCTCTTGGAGACCATGCTATGGGACGTTTAAGACAGAGCAGCGGAGGCCCCAGCGGCTGCACCACGTGCTCCCTCTCTCTCCTCAGGCGCAGACCGTCTTCCTCAACTGCGGCCATGTCTGCTGCTGCCAGCCGTGCTCCCAGCCACTGCGCACCTGCCCGCTGTGCCGCCAGGACATCGCCCAGCGCCTGCGAATCTACCACAGCAGCTGAGCCGTCGGGCGGGCCCTCCTGCCCTCGCGCCCTTGGGCTCTGCTCCCCGCACAAGACCCAGGCCCTTTCCCTCGGCCCGGAGCCCCACCGCGACCTCAAGCACCCGGCCCAGGCCCCAAGACACCCTGCCCGGGA